GTTACGCATGTATTAATACTTAATGGAAATGCTCGTACATAATAAATGTACATAGAGGTGTATATAGGATCCACTTAATTTTTTAAAAGTAATGTACATAATAATTAATAATTTATATAGATTTGTACATAACACTCACATTGAGTGGGTCCTACCAAAAATAAAAAATTAAGTGGACCTCACTCCATGTGAGTGTTAAATATACCTTTATGTACATTTATTATGTACTTGTAGCATTTTTTATTTTTTAAATTTGGTAAGACCCACTTAATGTGAGTGTTATGTACACCTTTATGAACATTATTATGTACTTATAGCATTTCTCTTACTGAATATCACTTTTCGGTCATTTAATAGTCGTTTGTATGGTTCCAGCTATGGTGACTATACTGGAGTTTTTCTAGTTGTGGCTACACTGTAGTGTCTGGAGTAGTGCTCGAGCCGTAGTCTTATTCCAGTGGAAGATTGTCTCTGGGTGTCGGACCGCGGTGTGTTGCGGATTTTCTCGCTTGTGGAGAGGAGGGTGTTAATCTACCTATTTGTGTTCTGTGATATTTTGTTGGTGTTTGTTGTAATGTTGAGGTGTTTTTTCTTGTTTTTGTGTTTATTCTCCTCTTGTATGAGTTGTATTATCCCTTTTTAAATTTGTTTAGTTTGTTAAGTTGTTTATCTTGTGAGTGGGTTAAAATAGTCTCTAGACGCTCGTCGCAAGGTAGTATCCGTAGATTCAACTAGATGGTTGATTGGCTTATTCTAGTTGTATTTATGTTTTTTTATCTATAAAATCTATCATTTCGAAAACAAGTAGAAAAATTATATTTTGTTTTTTTATTTTTATTTTGTTGTCAGTCTCCCTATATGGAGCGGTTTTAGTCTCCCTCTATAGAGTATTTTATCTCTATTATTTTTGAGTTTTCCATAGGGTCGTCTCTTTTATGGGGTAGCTATTATGATAAGTGACTCCCCACGTTCGTAATTCTCTGTCACTTGACAGTTAGAATGATCATATAACCATTTGGTTCCCGATTATACTTATATGAAGTTAATATAATAGTATTTGTTGTTTGAGAAAAAAAAAACAGAAAAATTTTAATTTAAATACATGAAGTGTAAAATTTTTACTTTTGGTCTTACACATATTAAAAATTATATAAATTTTATTCAAAACTGATGGCGATGAGATTGCGCTTGCGAATGTAGCAAAATACGATCCTCTTCGACTTTAAATTATTTAATTATTTTATTTTCATAGTTATTTATGCTAGTTTATTTGTTTGCTAATTAATTAGGAGAATAATCCATTTCTTGTTTAGCAAGATAGGGATATAGACTGTTGGACTCTATCTATTTTCTGTCTCTTGCATTCAAGAGGATCGACTTTGAATGAAATAAAAAATATCGTCAGATTTTGAGATTTATTTATCTCTTGTTCCCTTTTGTTGGGTGGTCGTCTGGCTCGACTCGCCGGTCCCGGGCTGGCCCCGAACAGTCCCGAACAGCCGCTGGTTCGTCCCGGCAACTCCCTGCAGGCCCGGACAGCTCCCAGCAGGTCTCGGACAGCCCCGATAGAACCCGGACAGCTTCGTGTTGGCCCCGAACAGCAACCTTTCGAGCCCGAACAAGTCCTGGTTTGACTGTTTCAGGCTGAAACCGAAAATTGACAAGAAACGGATAAATTTCAGCAATCAAAGAACATAAACAAACTGAAAATTCTGAAAATAAATAATGCATAAATGGAACGACTACACCCTTTTCGTAGTGCTCGTACGGGAGCCCGAATATCACCGATTCCACGATGGTGGGTTTAGAACGAACAGGCTCAGTCCCCTTTCGTCAAGCCCACAAAATGAGTCACCGAATAGCCGACAAAGAACCGATCAATGGACCCTTGGCCTCAATTGACTCCGGCACTACAAACCCAGGGTAACACCACCTACCGTCACACCAAACTTGGCCCGAAAACAGCCCGCTCACAAAAACCCCAAAAAATCCCTCACAACCTAACTCAGCTCACACACTCACTCACAATCTCATAAACACAAAGATTCAACAAGATAAGAGAGGATTTATCTGTAATATTCTTGAAGACGGGGGGCTGTAATTGTGAAATATTTGTCTGACATCAGCAAATTTTTTCCGAAACTCTTGGGGCAAAGTGTTAAACAGAGTTTCTGTCATTTCCATTGTTAGCTACCTTCTTAGTTGAGTATTCTTCGGTGATTTCTGTTGTTTTCTTGTGTTTTTAGGTTGTTTACAGCAAGCACGCAAAAGTTAAGCTGCTGGTAGCCTACTGGGCCCATTTTATCAACAACACTGACCAATACCTAAAATCTCTCCTCTTCACCAACAATCTATGCTCGTCGTCTAGTTACAACAAATGCCGTGGGAAAATTGAGATAAAGTATTACGTTGTCCCAGGATTCAACTCGACTGGTCCAGCTGTCATTAACGGTACAAATGTGTATCCGGGCTACACGAGGGTCAACCATGGAAAGTATGCCGTGAGTGACGTGAGGGCCCACATTGGGACGAGCAATCTGATGTGGGATTACTTTTACACGACAGCTGGCATTAGCTTTGGCACGTACAATGCTGTTATTGTGTCTCAGCTTCGAGAAATTTTCGATGCCGATTGGAGTTCACCTTATGCGGTGGCTGTTGAGCCGTTGGAGGACCGGTTTTTGTGTTCCAGCTGATATTGATTTTTATTTTAGGGTTATGCAGAGATTGGAGTTCAATGTTATGTTGCTTATTTGACTAATATTGGTGTTAATTTAATTTTGAAGTTCGATTTCAGTTGTCAAGGTATAATGCTTATTTAAGGTCGAATGAGATTTGTAATTATTAACCTTTGTAATTATCAGGATTTAACAGTTAACACCACCGAAAGCTGATGCATAAATGTGTACTTTTTTGGACACTAGTGTACAATGCATGTAATACATAATTTAAATTTTAAATTATGTTTATCTTTTATATTTATATGGTCTATATTCAATTTTTTGCATTATTATTTTTAATTAATCAAACAAAAGAAATACGGTACATATATTACATACTTAAATGTGTTAAATATATTGAAAATTGAAATGCAATTTTTAAGATATTAATATTTATAAGTCATGGTGGAATGACAAACATTCATTATCGAAGTTAATCTTGTTTATTCACAATCTTTATTATGTTTCTTAGTTTAATTGATTTTGCAAGTCAGGCTTCCATAAATTACTATGATACATTACTATGATGTTTGTCCTGGGAGCTATTACAAATTGACTTCAAGCAAACGCATTGATTAAAAAANACACCCCAGTTGTTGATTAACTAAAGATAAATTAACTAACATAGCTTGAAAATGTACATTGCATGAATTACTCAATTCAAGGTAACAACACACAACACCTCTAAAAATTTACTATACAAAGTTCTTAAAATGACTACTTAATAGGTATAAGTTTAAATTCCTAAAGCATGCAATAGCATGTTAACCTTCACATGCCAGAAAACCTCTTAGACTCTTAGTGTTTGTTCTTCATCTCCTCTGGAAGTTGAATGTCTTGATGGAGAACGCAAAGACGAACGTGAATAAAACGACAAATCCGAGGAGCACGCCAGCAACTAATCCGAGCATATCGTGTCTAAACCCAAAGTAGTTTCTCAAGAAATCTTCAACTGTTTCACCTGTCTCCATCACATCCTTAATTTCTCCAAATTGTGTAATAATAAAACCGTACAGTGTGTAAGCCAGTGGGGTTGCCCAGTAGTACCATCTCCACCAAACAGGGATCCTCTGTCATCATCATCATCAATTATTTCGACAAAACAAACAAAGAAAAAAAAAATATATTAGTTGATGCAAAATTTGATTTAATTGATGATGTTCAAGATTGATATATTAATGTCGGCAAGAACTTACTGGTCGTGGAATGATAAATCCGGAGAACAAATTCCATAGACCGTAAAAGAAAGATGAGATAATGGCAGCAACATTGTGGTTAGGGGTGACAGCGACAGTCATCATTCCATAGAGGACAAAGTATAGTAATGACATGAACAAGATATACATGAACCAGAAGAACTTTTCGGCTGTCCAATCGAAACCCATCATTGAGTAGACAATGACAGCGTACACAATGGATTGAACAAACACGTATGGGATCTCAATGAGGAACTGCCAAAGGGGAAAAAAAAGAAAAAGAAAAATGTAGTCAAGTAACATCACAAACTTCAAATGGTTTTTGAAATTTCAAGAATTAGTCACCTGTGAGAATGCGTATGGTAAAGCCGAATACATCCCTGCTGCTTTTTCTCTGTAAAAGACCGTTCTTTCAATGGCCACAACTGGCTGTACTGTGGAGCCATATTGGAAACCTAAGAAGTTGATGGCTGCATACATGGAACCCATGGCATTGAAGAGATCTTGTTGCGTATTCCTAGAAAAAAAAAATTTATGCTCATTAAAGTTACTACTAACTAAAAGTATTTGATAATGAACGAAAATGAGAGTTTCATTCTTCTGTTTTCGTCTTTTTTTAATTTCCCAATCAACATACCATTTTGAACCAAGATCCCAAAACATTGTCCCAAAGATAAGGGCTATAAAGGTTGTGAATAAGAATCTAACGGCCGTGTAAGGAGGATTGCGCCAGTATGACCAGTGTTGTTTCCACAGACAGGCAATGCATTGAGTGAGAAAAGACTGTGAATATTGTGTTGGGAAATAAAGATCTTTCGTGCCAGGGCGCGGGATGGATAATTCTTTGATAAGAGATTTGTTTCTCCTGTAAAAAAATTTCAATAATCCAAACTATTAAGTCTTATAAAGGAAAACTTGTTATAGATAACATATATTTCGTTATTATGGCATTAGACTCACATGTATAAATCCGATTTCTTGTAGTGTTTGGTGAAGTCCACGCCCAAGAGTTGCTCTTGTGCTGAAGTAGTAACTTCCAACATCCATGTAGCCGGATTGTAGCCATCCTTAATCTTCGCCACTCCTTCGATTTCTTCAAAGTAGTTGATCAAATGGGTCGAGTGGCGACCCAATGGCCCCACGTATATTTCTTGTCCTCCGCGTTTCATCAGAAACAACTGCCAGGCCAATAGCAAAACGAAATCACCACGAGAAATATGCATTTTTAGTCTTGTTGGTATCATGCCATAGCAATTTTAGTTCCAAGATTCCAACTATTTGCCTTTTGATCCTGTGATTTATTATCTTGCTGCAATTTCACTCCTTTGAGGACTGAAATTGCAATAAAACTTTAATTTACAGGACTTAAATGGATAATCGAAAATCTGAGAATTTATTGCAGCTTCAGTCAATCAAAGGACTGAAAGTGCAACAATACATTAAATCACAAGACCAAAAGACAAAATGTTGGAACCTTAGGACTAAAAGTGCTATAACGTTAAACCAGCAGGACTAAAAAAAGCAGTTTTGCCTTAAAAGAATATACCTCATCAAACGCTTCGAATATGTCGATGCTCGGCTGGTGAATGGTGCACACGACAGTTCTTCCCGTGTCCACCGTGTTCCTAACAGTCCTCATCACAATAGCAGCAGCTCTAGCGTCGAGCCCCGATGTCGGCTCATCCATGAATATTATAGAAGGATTGGCTACTAACTCGACAGCTATCGTGAGCCTCTTTCTCTGCTCGGTCGAGAGCCCATTAACCCCCGGCAAACCGACTAGAGCTCCCCCCAACGGAGTGAGCTCCACAAGTTCCATCACTTCTTCAACAAACACCTTCAATCATAAACATAAAACTTAATTATTTCTCAATATCATCAACCAAAAAAAAAAAAATATAAATCACATAATCCCAAATTCACATACCTTTCTAGTCTGTGCATCGATATCACGCGACAACCTCAGCCAAGCCGAGTATACAAGCGACTCGTACACTGTGACATTTGGCGAGTGGATGTCGTTTTGCTCACAATAACCCGAAATCCGAGCGAATGTGGCTTGGTTTTTGGGGTATCCAGAGATGGTTATGTTCCCGTCAATATATCCTCCGGTTTTTCTTCCGGCTAAAACGTCCATCAGAGTTGTTTTCCCGGCCCCACTCACGCCCATCAATGCTGTAAGAACTCCGGGTCTAAAAGCTCCACTCACGCCTTTGAGAAGTTCCAATTTGTCTTCGGTGGCTCCTTGGGCTTTCATTTCAGGCGGCATGTCAACCGAGTAGCTGATGTCATCGAACGTGATTGAGTGTGGCTCAAATGGAAGTATCATTCCTCTTTTATTATTCTCAACAGGCTCAATGGCATCCGAATGTCGGGACTCAACCTCTTCATTTTCTTGCGGTAGTACGGCCTGAGGCTTCTCATAAGCTGCACAATTTTGTTGTACTTATTTATTTTTTCCATTGAAACGGCTATACAAGGTTNACGGTCGAGAAATGCAAGAGATATGATGAAGAGGATGTTGTATAGGAATATAAATCCAACCAAGCCCCCAAGTCCTAGCCAATACCAGTATTCTTCAGGAAAGAACCCACGGGACTGCATTGCTAAGGTCCCCAACTTTGTCCCATTTACCAACTGTAAAAACAAAAATGGCATAAACTAGTTCAGAACAAGTACGCGTAAAAAAAGTAAAACATGTTTTGGTTAATGAAACGAAAATCGTACTTTGCTCCAGCTGTGCGCCGTAAACTCGTTTGCGAGAATCGCGTTCTGAGCATACATCAAAGATGAGGACCAGTAGCCCCATATCCACCACCCCTTCACATCATCTGCCACAACCAAAAACAGAACAAAAATGCACATCCCATTTTTTTAACTTTTTTTTTTTCTCATGAAAAAAATATATATAACTAATGCTCGCGTATCATTTTCCTTACTTCTTGACAGAACAAAGCCACCTAGCGCAAACAACAATAGGAGAGCAAATAAGCCGAACGTGTTTGCAATGACCATGTTCCTCCCAGCCGCCCCAATAAATCGGAACAACGATAAAGCCGATTGGCTAACGAATAAAAGCAGCAGGTAATGCTTTGCAAACCTTCAATTTTCAATCCAATGTAAGATACTTGACAAAAAATATATATATATATATATATATATAGGGAGTGGTTCAAATAAAAACTAGTCCTGGTGTGAGAACCGTGAGAACCGTATTTGATGCTATTTTTTATTGTGTATGATGTTATTTTTAATATTACATGGTGCTATCATTTTCACATATGCTAATATAAATTGTGTTGCTATTTTTCAGAAAATAGATCCATTTTAAAAATAGCACTAGAACAAATCAATCATAGCACTACGTACAACTATAAATAGCGGTTCTCACGGTTCTCACGCTAGGACTTAGTTCTCATTTGAACCAAATCCTATATATATATATATATATGTTGATTTATAAATTAATACCACACTTACCTTGTTATGTTAGGATCAAGACCTATGGTGTAATAAGTGAGGAATGTCCATATGGCAACTTCAATTAAAGTGACGGGTATTTTCAATAGGCATGATGGGAGACCGTAAGTCCATGCAGGGAAGAAGAACATGTCCCGTTGCTTGTAAAATACCGGAAGTTTATTAATTGTCATCGCTAGCTCGGACAAACCGTTGAACATAATCATTATAACCGCGAAAAATAGAGCTCCCGTGTATATGCCAGCATCTCCTACTGTGTCTTTTTTCATCTCCGTTCGAAAGAAAACCGACATTGCAATAAAGGACACCATAGTAATCTGAATGGGAAAATAAAGGCAAAATTGTAATTTTAGTCCTGTTGGTTTGATCCAATGGCGTTTTTAGTCCTAAGAATTAAATATTTTGCTACTTGGTCCTATAATTTTAAATTTCAACGCAATTTCAGTCATTTGAGATTGAAATTGCAACAAAATTTAATAATACAGCACTTAAATTGCTAATAAGAAATCATTGAGATGGAATTTTTCATTAGCAATTTAAGTCCTGCAGTTTTAAATTTTGTTGCAATTTCAGTCCAAAAGGATTGAAATTGCAACAAAACACTAAATTACATGATCAAAAGATAAAAATTTGAAATCTTTGGACTAAAAATGCAATTTTGCCGATTCTGTCATACTTTTAACAAATTTTACGTAATTCTCAAACATAACAAGATTGAAGCCTATGAAATTTGCACTAACCTGAAAAATCTTGAAGAAGAAGACGAACGAGTTTCTCTTCATCAACAAGATTTCTCTTTCGGTGCATGCCTTGAGGAGTTCTTTTTTACCCAAGCCGAACATTTTCGTGGTCAAAGCGGCTGGATGACTTTTTTTCTTATCAAATGGAACCGCCAGCTCATCCTCGAGCGTTCGGCCGACAGGAGACGACTGAAAAGCCTCTGCAAATTCGCTAACTGAAATGAATCTGTAAGGCTCGTCTTTACTTGCCCAGTATTGCGCCTGGTCTTTCTTTGAGGTCACCTGTAATATTTTTTTTCATTAGAAACAAGTAAAGGTTATTTATATTAGTGAAATTAATGACTCCCTTTTCTTGGCTTACTTCTTGTAAGAAATCAGCCACTCCTTTTCTTTGTGGGCATTTGAAGCCCATGGACTCGAAAAAATCGAGCACTTGTTCACGTGGGCCCTGATAGACTATCTGTCCATCTGACAAGAGGACTATGTCATCAAACAAGTTGTACGTCTCGGGTGCCGGCTGCAAGAGGGAGATTAAAGCAGTGCCCTTCATTATGTGGACTTGTTGTCTTAGAATGTTCACGATTTGGTAAGTAGTCGAGCTATCGAGTCCAGTGGATATCTCGTCCATGAAGAGAGCATTTGCTGGCCCAACAATCATTTCTCCTGTGTTTTCATTTTAATCCAGATTAAAAACAAATAAAAAAAAAATCAGTATCTAGGAAATTTTGTGAAACAAGTTGTGCTATTTTAGTACATGGGTGTGCTATCTTTTCTATTTTTTTATTTTTTGATTTACCAGTTGTGACACGTTTTTTCTGGCCGCCGGAGATTCCCCTTATATTCTCATCCCCGACCAAAGTATCGGCACAAATATCGAGGCCCAAAACCTTTAGGACGTAATCTGTGACGACATTTGCTTCGTCGCCTTCAGTGGCCACTGCCTGCATTTGCCGGAAAATAGTACGCATTGACTAATACAGTAAATGAACAGTTTATCAATGCTAGTCTATTTATTACTATATATTTATTTATTTTGTTTGACCTTCATGAAGATGTCAATATCAGGATCTGGTTTGATGTTTGCTGCTTTCTCTCTCCTTGACAGCTCTGCCAGCATTTCTGTTTGAATTGATTTCGAAAAAAAAAAAGAGTCAACAAACTCAAGAAACTTTGAAATTAATGGCCAAAATCGAAATTCCGAAAATTTGAAAGAAGATCTTTTTATCATAATACCGTATCGAGAGCCAACACCTTGGCATCTAGCAGAAAATGCTAAAGTTTCTCTGACAGTCATTTCACCGATATGCAGATCGTGTTGGCTAATGTACGCCGCAGTTCTTTGGGGTACGAATTCTTGCATTCCGTGTCCATTATATGTCACATTACCCGAAACCTATTAAAATATTATTAATATTATCAGTTAACTAAGACAATGATAGTTATGAAATGGACATTTTTCTTTTGTTTAGTTATTTACTTTAAGAGTGGGATCGAGCTTCCCAGCGAGAGCTAACAAAAGGGTAGTTTTGCCAGAGCTTGGAGGGCCTAAGAGCAAAGTCATCCTGCAGGGTTTTATAATACCACTCACATTCTTTAGGATTGTGAATGGTTTTTTTCGACTTGGAAGTATGTGCAGACTGTTCAATATTCCCTGCACACACCAAAAATAGAATAAAAGCATATTTAATAGTCGACCCTTTTTCCTATTATTGTACACAAGTTAATTTGTGAGCATCGAACACAAGGGTTATTTTTATTTTACATAATTTTGTTATTATTACTAGTAAATTATATTATATTTTTTTGTTAAATGTTTATGTGATACCTCAACAAGATTGATGTTGAAATTGAGAAAAGTAGGCAGAGCCCTGCTTGCACTGTAGGCTTCCGCACCAATGTTTAGATACTCATATCTAACTTCAATTGTTGGCATATCAATGCCCACTCTTAAAAAAAATAAAAAATAAAAAAAAAAATCACTAGCTAATGTTAGAATAAATTAACTAAATTAAAACAAGTGGCTAAACCAAAGAATAAAAGAAATTTACCTATCAATTCTGTCTCTTAGCTTCAACAAAAATTTCTCATTATCTTCTTCCACGGTATTAACCAGCCTCTGGATCAAAGTCCTCTTGTCTTCAAAGCCGAGATTACGAACATCTACCTCGTTAGCACCTTTTGACCCGAACAAAAGACCTTTCCTCAGACGATCGAAAGTGGGCAGCTTTTCAAGTGCGGCCCATTTTAAGGCTTCCTCATCATCTTCTTCACGTGCAGAGCGTGAGAAGGCCTCCATGCCCGTATTTCTCCATATGTTGGAGCTGTTTGATCTAATGCTATTGCTAACTTTATAAAGATCACCTGCATCCATTTTTATTTTATTTCCAAACCTCGTACAATAATGATTATGTGTTAGAGTTCTATCTTCTATGTTTGGTTTTTCGTTGTTGACAGCATATATTTATCTTGAGTTTGATCAAGCAGCGGTTGTGTACTTTTGGACATNTCGTCTTTTCCTATGGAGGAATGAAAAATGTCAAGGAGTTGATTGAATTATGAATATTTTCTACATGCGGGGTTCTTATAGCTATAGGCGTGTCTGGGCTGGCTTGACTGCTTTTTGTTAGTTTTTTCATTTGTCTTTCCTTTTACTTCAAAAAAAAAAATTCTTATTTTCAGTTTCAAAAATTGGGAGAAAAATAAAATATGAAAAATAGAAGGGGTTCTTAGAAGTAACAAGGTCGAGAAGTCCAGCCCGGTTCATGACCCGTGATCGGAATATAAAAATGTGAAATATGAAAAACGTGTGATGGCATTTTTGGTTTTTCCTTTACTACGCACGAGCTGACAGACAACCCACGTTTAATTTTTATTATTTTTTATTTTAGCTAGTATTCGTGTATGTGCACAGAAACAAATAAAAATTTATATATTATATGTATATATACAATATTTGAAATTTTAAGTTAGATAATGGATGTATTGCAGTTTAAAATTTTTGACTTATAAATATAAATTATTTAACTTGCATGTGAATCTTTATATTGATGATGACATAAATTTTAATGAACAGTGTAATTTTGTAATTTAGAGGGACCATACGATTAATTAGTTAGAAAAGTATTACAACTATTTTTAATGTTGTTATAGTAATTATTTATGTAATTTTAAAGAGTTTGATTATAACACTCATGTCAATTAACTAATATTAGAGAAAAACCACTTAATAAGATGAAAAATAATATTTATTATAGAATAAGTATGTTAATAAAATAAATTGCAATACAATTTTTTATAAGTATGTAACTTTCACATATTATTTAATGTAAATTTATAATTAGCTAGTATTAGTAGTAATATTACATAATAAATTAGTTTAAGTTACTATTACACTTCACTAATGTATAATGTAACAGTTTCACATTAATTGAAAAAAAAAGAGGTTTTTGGGCGGAAAATAGAAGAGACGTTTTATTAAATGTTTTATTTATGAATTAACCAACAATTATATATATATATATATATATATTTTTCTGAGGTAATGCTTTTAAAAAATATATTCACATTCTAGATTTCGGCTTATTTTATATACGCAGTGCTTAGAAAGTATTGACTTGACCGGGTAGATACGAGCCGTTTAATGTAGGCCTTCTAGAATCTCACTACAGTCGTTTTGTTTAGGCGAAAAGAAAAGAGGATGCACCTAGATATGGCCAAAATCCGGGCCAGGTCACGGCCCAACCGCCGGGCCTCCGGGTTGGGTTTCATGGACCCTGAACCAGTACGGATCTATGCTCGTGTCGGGTCCGGGTCAGGGCCGAATCGTCATTTTTTAAAGAAAAAATATAGAATAATATAAAAAAAAAAAAAAAAAAAGGGAAAAAAAAAAAAAAATGGTCATCGGCCTGGACCGCCGGGCCAGGGTCATGAAATAATGACCCTGAAACGCCCGTCGAAAATCCAGTCCCAATTCGGACCCGTGGTCAATGGATTTGACCGGGCTGGACGGCCCGTTGCCACGTCTAGATGCACCCTTGTCAACTGTCAAGGACCTATTATCATAATTATTCCTTATTTTTTTTTAAAGTCAATTGTACATGTAGATACATAAATAAAGCAATCAGGTAAGCAAGCGATTCTCTTTCCTCAATTCAGTTTCATTGCCTCCACCAGATATTGAGAGAACAATTGCTGCAGATAACGAAATAAGCTTTTCAGTTTTGAATTGCCAAGGAGCTGACTTCAAATAAAATGAGTCGCTGCATAAGTTTTTCTAAAATTTGTGATTATTATCAAATGACGTCACGTGTAAATTAATATATTGATTTAATTAATATATTAAAACTCAAGTCATATTTTTATTTATATTTTAAGAATTTTTATAAATTTNGTAAAGTGTATATTTTTCAATTTTACAATTAATTGAATGAATGACTGAAAAGTCAATTTTGCCCTTAGAAATTTCCGACAATGATCGAAAATTGGTTAAGTGCAATTTTTCGCACAGTTAAATAGGCAAAATGTCATGAAAAAAAGTTGAGCGGGTAAAATGCAAGAGATCCTATAGTTAGGTTGGTTAAATGTAGTTATCCCTATTTAAATATTTTAATTCTTGACCAATCAAAAATTGCCAAGTGTTAAATCTTATTTTTTGGTAAATAAATCATATATCTTCTAGAAGATTTTGGGAGATTTAAATAGATTCGAATATCTTATGTGAATTGTATGGACCAATCAAATCGCGTCCTACGATTCTTAGATTTGGTAGGATTCTCTCTCCTACACCAATAAATAAGGATTCTCAGTAAAGCAAAAATAAAAAATAAAACACATTACAATTCATATTAAGTTCAGGAGCTCCAAAGATTCTCTCGACGAGATACAAGTGTTCTTGAAGATTCAAAGACGTTCTTAAAAATTTGAAGCAAAGTTCAAGTGCGTTCAACCTCAAGACTGACGTTTAATATGGAAACAAGTTGTCAAGCATCTGAATTGCGTTAGTAAACTCGAAACCGGCGTAGAGAAGATTCAAGATCTACTCTGCGGTTAAGACCAAGGACTCATGTTCTTCACGTTCTTGGGATATAACGACGTTTGATCCGAAATCAAGGCATTGACTCTCGAATTAACGATAATTCAAGTCAAATCAAATCAAGGAGGAGATAAAGCTGAAGATTTCTCTCCAATATTTAAAATTATTTATGAGAAGAACCAGAGGAGAAAATTTAGCATTAGTACCGACTTTGTGAAATAAACATGAATTACGGTCATATTATAAATTTAGGAATTCGATACATGTATTGCAATTGGACAGTACTAGTGGTGAAGTAATGCACTACTTATAAATTAGTATTTATTACAGACTTTGTGGAATGAACATGAATTACTTTACATATTATAAGTTTATAAAGTTGATACTTGTATTGCAATAGAATGGTACTACTATAGAAGTAATGCAATACTTATAAATTTGCATTTAGTACCGACTTTGTGGAACAAACAAGAATTATTGTATGTATTATAAGTTTACTTGTACTTGATTTTCTTCATAAAAGTACCAGTGTAGAATTTCAACAGTACTTATATATTAGTACTTCGTACCAACTTTATTAAACGAACAAGAATACTGGTATCTACTATAAGTTTAGAAAACTGATTTTGGTAAATCAATATGAAAGTACCAACTTTGACGTTCCTTAGTACTCATTGTGTAGCATTTAGTACCAACTTTGTTGAATGAACAAAAATTAGTTAGACCTATTATAAGTTTAGAAAACATATACTGGTATTGCAAAAGGACAATACCGAGTTTGACTTATCCTTGTACTCATTATATAGCATTAAATACCAACTTTGTTGATATTTGCTTGTACATATTTTAATAGCATATACAAATTAAACTACTCCATAAAAATTAATGCAAGGGTCAACTTCATGCTTTGTATGTATTGTATTATTACTTAAATACTTTCGTATAGTACATATGCAAAATATGTTGATAATGTTTCATAAAAGAACCTACTCCCACATCTTAAACATATACTTACAAAATACACACAATCGAAACCAAAGACCCTTTACATCTAGCATACTTAACAAAATACAGTGCACTTATCTAAGTACGTTCTGCATGTACGTCGATTATATATTCTTATACTGTCTTACCGCAACCTCAACTTGTGATGGGATCCTTTTTATCGAACCCTGCAACCCTTTTTGCTCTCCCATGTAACGAAAATAAAAACTTTTTGGTTCAACATAAACAAATTATCAAATACATATTTTCAAGATTTTTTCCTACTAAATATAAAATAGTATGACTAGTATCAGTAAATAAAATTGTATACCTTCAAGAATTTTTTTGTTTGTGGACGTCGATCGTGCATCATGGTCATAAAATGAGTTGGATCAAATGAAATTCAAACTTTTTAGCACAAATTAGTATTCAATACCAGATAACAGAGGTACTATATTACTCACAAACGGATACAATACGCATGCAACAATGGTACTATGGTTATATCTACGAGAAATCGACATAACCTAATATAAATAGTTGGTAGATATGAACAACAAAAGACAATTATTGACACCTTCTTTTTTTTAGGTGAATATGATGTACAAGAGCTCGATTTTAGGAAAAAGAAATTAAAGAAAAACCTCCATAATCGATTCCTCAGACGCCAAAAGATTTCACAAAAAGGTGAGTTTGGAGTTCACCGGAGAAAAGACTAGCGGAGTTCGCCGGAGATGGTCATCCGTTTTTCACCGTTGTTCGTCCCGTGCATCTTTCACCGTAGTTCTTCACAATCGTCTTTCACCAGATATCTGTACACCCATTGTTCGTCGGAGATCATCGCCGCAACACCTGGAAAAAAAAAGGAAAATCGGATTGGGAGAATATTGAAGGAGATAAACAGTTGAAAAAAGAATAAAAGATAGCGTTGACAAGTGTTGATTTTGTATAAATTTTTAATGTAAAGGAGTCAAGTAGAAAAAACATTTGGCAATAGGAAGTGCAATTAGAAAAAATATATTTAGGAATTGGTGGGGAAAATGAAAAGGGGTTTGAAGATTTAATGAAGTTGGAGCCCCTAAAATCTATCGTAATTTATTATTCAAATCAGTCTTCTGTATTTTTTAAAACTAGTAAAGTGCACGTGCGATGCACGTGGTATCGAATGATTTTTGCTGAGTAAGTTTGTAAAATAAATTAATTTATTTATTAAACATATCATTGCAGGAATGAAATAAAATATAGAACAAATGAATTCATATGTGATTTTTTTTATTTATAATTAGAGTAATGATGTCCTAATATAAAAAGAGTGAAATAACGTTTTACAGCCCTCAACTAAAATATATAAAAAACAAATCCTTAATAAAAAAACCATTAAGATTTTCTTTCATCTTTCTTA